AGACGCACATACACACACACATACACACGCTGAGAAATGCATGGTCACAAACAGGAATGGGTTTACACACCGTACACAGAAACTCACAAATACGGATACAAACATATATGTACACACACATCGAGGCACACATGCGCGCACAAACTTCAAGGCCTCAGAGAGAGTAAGCTAGAGAGAGTAGGATGTTATTTATTCATCAGTCTTTGTTGTAGTCAGGAGGCAACAAGCCCCCAGAGCTGTAAACACACAGAAACACAGGCCTCAGTGAGCCTCAACCCTGGGAATAACAAGCGGTCCCTGTATACAAGCAGGCCTGTTTGGGATGCCGGTGCAAGCACATACACGAGTTCGGGTTTGTCAGAGCCCGGCGCGGCAAAGACAAGACAATATCCTCCTTGGAGCCGAAGAAAGATGGAGAAAAGAAAAAAAAAGCAGAACACAATTCAGAACAGGCTCACAGCAATCTAAAGGGCGTATGTAAAGGACCGTTACAAAATTACAAAAGAAGAGTAGATGTGATTTTGGAGCATGATGAATTGATTTTTTTTAACATTTTTTTGTACTTCACACTCACTTTGTCTGAATATTAATTGAATCAGGCGAGAAACTATGGAACGGAGGGCCAGACAGGCAGGGAAATAATCAGTCTGATAGGAGAAATAAAAGGAAGCAAAATTTGCTAAAAGACTGAGGACTGGCATTCCCCCTTAAAAATAGCATGAGCTGCAAAAACATGATCTTTTTGTGCTTTACAGAAGAGAACGAGATGGTGCTAGAATGTACCTTAAGGTTGAAAAAAGAGGGGGAAATGTTCAAAGACGACACATATTTAAATAAGTGAAAAATGGAGCGTAAGATCGATGGCTAGATTGATGCGTTGTGTGCAGTGATGCAGGTGATGTATCTTCTCTCATGGTGAAGACAGACCAGATTACTGTTTTGTACTCAATTTTCTGGTCAATCTATACTTTCTTACCCTAATATATGGACTAAAGCTTTGAGTAGTGCCTGAAAGAACGAGACTATGGATGCAAGTAGCCAAAATGAGTTTTGAGAAGCTCATTTACGCTGGAGGGGCTCCGTTCAGAGCCTCTGCTCCTCCTCAATGAGAGAAGCCAGGAGAGGGGACATCTGGTCAGGACGACCTTCAGTGTCGATTAAAAAATCCCAGCCTGGTTTTGTCACCATCTACTAGCAACTTTGCATGGATATGTTACTGAAACTGAACAAGGTTGGGAAAAAATAAGAAAAATCCAAAGACCAAAGGATCAATCGCAGAAATATCATAATACGTCATTGCTGACTTTTTAAAGATGTGCATTTTTATGCGCGATCTCATACGATTAGTTGTCATATATCTTCCAGGTTTCCTAAAACAATAACACTAAAAATGCGTTCTTAACGGGTTTTGAATAATCTCAAAAAATACTGAAAGTTTATGTTCTGCATTGAGAATTAGCTGCGGCAGGGCCACCCATAGAGAAATCTGTGGTTCACAAGGAGCCAGTACCACCAGTCAGGTCTACAGGGATTTGGCCCAAACAGATGTTCCCTACCACCTTGATTGTGTTTGTGAGCACTTTCCCCGCTTGCGTGTTTGTGCTGAACGTGGCGATTTCCGCGTGTTTTCATCGCTCTAACTGCTTTCCGATTCATCCCGTGATTTCTGCCACTCCATGCACCCTCCCTCTCAATGCTGTGTGACCGAACACCTGCCGCACGGTAACCGTTTAATGAGCTGCCCACCTGGGGGAGGCATAGGGGGTGGTGTATGTAGCCGTAGTGGGAAGAGGAGGAGGAGGAGGAAGGGTGTTATGGATCTTTATTTTCTTTTTCCTCCGCTGCTCCACCTCTGCCGAGTTAAAAGCCGTCAAGTATCTCTCCTCTACAAATGCATGACAGTGTTTGGCTTTGATTAGCTCCACGATCGCCGAGCAGACGAGAAGCATGAGTGATGCATTAGGAAGTCGAGGCACACATCCAAACAAGCTCTTATATTCATGAGATTGTCATCATAGTTTACATGAACGGCATATTTACCATTTTCCAAAGGAGGGGGGGAAAAGAGAAAACAACAAATGGATGTCCTCCATGGCATTCCAAGACGGGAGTACCCTCTCTTTCCATTATTCCCTCTCATCTCCACTGCTCTCTACTTGTTTTCACTCCTCGTTATCACTTGGCTTGTGTCGGGGGTATGAATGCACTTGAGCCCGCGTGTGTCTGGTGTGCTTTATTTTGGGCAGAGGTGATTTGTAGCCTGGGCCTCGGCTACAATGCACACTTCAAAAGAGCCTTCAGGACGGCGTGCGGTCATCTGTGGCCCCGTGATGTCAGCGGGGTGAATTTCTGCTCCGCGCGGCATTAACCTACCATTTCGCTCATCCTTCTCATACATTATGTTCTTTGAATTTATGTACTTAATTAGACCTCTGGGTTTACTCAAGCTGACTCTCCAATTTATTTGGCACATGTTCACGAAGGTACAAGCATTTTTTAAAATCTTTTGTTCAGCGCCTTGCGAAAATACACGCCTTGAACTTTTCACATTTTAAAACCTTCAAGGTATTTTTATCAGAATTTCATATGATAAACATTGTTTTTTTTTTCTCCATATTGAAAAATCTCATGTATTTTGCTCCCTTTTTTGTGTTGCTGCTTCTGAATAAAAATCTAGATGCTAAACAGTGTGCAAAGTTTTATCTCAGGAATTACTCTAAGGCAGATCTGCAGATCTATAAACCTATAGCCATTTACTTCAACTTAAAGGTCAGACAATGTAAAGCATAAAATGGAAAGGCATCCAACACAATCATACAAACTCTGATATGTGAAAGAAAGCCTCACTAAGAAGACTTTCGGCCATCAAATTTGTCACTTTATGAATGAGTGGTCATTATTAACTTGTTAAAGAAAAACTGACCTAACAAAATTACACTTACATTCTACTACAAGCCACGTAAGACACACAGCAAATATGGAAGGACGTGCTGCAATCAGTTGAACACATTTTTAGATTTTTTTTGCCAATTTGTAAAGCAAATAGAACTGCACATCACCATCATGAAACTCGGTTGTGACTGCATGGTGTTACATTTCATCATCAAACTGGGACAGAGGTTCACCTTTGTATTCATGTTTTACAATGGTCTAGTCAAAGTCAATGTTATTTCAGCTAGGAATCCATCCAAGACTCATTATGCTTGTGTTATTCTGGTCGATTTTCATTCAGACGTACATTTGTAAAGTTGAGAAAAGTGAACAGTATTGTTTTTCTCGCTCATTAAAAAAAAGATACATTTAGGTTTATGGTTATGACTTGAGAAAACATTTTAGGAGAACAAATGCTGTCTGTGTCTTCAGTCTAAACAACTTAGAATTATACTTCAGGATTCCTGAATAAAATCTGCCAAGCTCAAAGTGAAAATATTTTTCCCAAAGCAATACACAAATTTCAATAGATTCCATCATTTTTTCCGAGCAGTAAAAGTATTTTATTTGACATTGAAAATACTCCAGACTGACAAATGTACTCATAATAGCCTGACAGCCGATCAAATGGGCCAATTTTATTTGTACATACACCACTGAAACACTTACGCCAAGCAAGTTATGTCCTAAAGGAACGCCTGTAAAAGGGGGGATTTCCAAAAAGTCACAATGAATTAGCAAACCAGATACATCCAATTAAATCGGATATTAAGATTTAACTGCACATCGGAGAGGGGAGTTTTACAAACGGTGAAATATTGATGATGTTTGTGTAAATGCCGTTTGCTTGTGCCTCTTTTAAACTCTTTATAAATTCTAATGCGGGGTCTTTCGGACTACCCGCTGTTTGGGTTTGTTCCCGTTTAATGCAGAAGGGCGGGGAAGCGATGAGCAAATAAGCAAAGGCCTGCAGAGATTGCTAAGTCACGCTCTGAAGTGCAAATGAGCTGCTTCCTCTTTTGGTTCTGCGTGTCAAAACCAAACATGGGTATTTATATATTAGCATACATGTCAGAGCTGTAGCTAAGAGAAACACATCAGCTAGCAAAATGAGGCCCCTTAATAAAATTAGTCCTCGGTTCTGCACATTTTTTACTGCACCATTAGTGCCATGTGATATTCCAGGGCACCGTCGCTCACTAATGACTTGAAAACTCACCCAACAAAGTGTTGGACGGGCGAAAAAAGTTGGACAAGCTTACACCACGAGACAATTATATGAAAAAAGGAAATATTACTCACAGCTGCCCGTCCGACTTGCACACACTGCGCCGCGTTTGAATTAACTGACTGTCGGTGTTTATATTTGGGCCGAACTTTGCTGGAACCCTTTCACCTTCTAAAAAAGCCGCTGGCACAGCTTGACCGTCTTTTTTCCTCTCTGCTGGAACAGCTTGAGTCGAGGTCTGATTAAAAAGCGCAGACATTGGCTGCGCCTTCCTGGGAGGTAAGTGCTAGCTAGGAGCCCGGGCCTGGGGGGCCTCGGGGAAATAAAGATTTGAATCGGAGCTGATTTGAGTAGATGAAGATGGAGCAGTAATTACAGACATTCCCAGATCTCAGCAGTAGATCCGGCGAGCCCAGACCCTTCGGCTTACAGGCAGGGTGATAAAGATGGAGCCCTGTGTATTGGGCGGATGAGGCGTGCTGGATGATGAAGGAAGTGGGGAGTTACTCTGTCACTGATCCATAAAATCACATGAAATTGGACCCAGGGTAAGTCGCTAACTGCGTGACATCTCCTGTCACGGTACCAAAATAAATGTATGCTATTTGAAACAGAACAAAGCAACTGTTCTGTATGTGTTACCAATATAATTATGATTTCAGCGCAAGCCTTTCCTCCCACCCCTTGCTGTTATTAAAAATCATATTAGTTAAGCCTTTTGAGAAACCTCCACCATTCCTCCTTAATTCTCCTATTTCTCGGGGCTCCATAAGAGAATCAGTCCACTCCTACCTTTCTAGAAGTTGTGATAAAAACTGTGGTTGTTTCTTCTTTCTTCAAGGTGCATCATGATTTGAATCGCCAATCTGCCAAACCCCCAGACCTCCGCGCCTCCTCCAGGGCGACATTTCAGACGGGCCCCGAGGGCGACTGGAGGGAAGACATTGAACGAGGTAATTGCGGCGAGATTTCTCCTCACTAAATTAACCTCTGCTCTGAAATTCATTGGCAGTACCTCGCTCTGCTAAAATCAAAAATCAAATCAAATTTTATTTGTGTAGCACATTTCAGCAGCAAGGCATTTCAAAGTGCTTTACATCATAAACACAAAAACACAAAGTCATGCAACATAGAATAAACAATACATTGTTACATATTACATTTCAAATCCAATTCTAAACAGGTGTGTTTTCAGTTGAGATTTAAAGGAAGTCAGTGTTTCAACTGTTTTACAGTTTTCTGGAAGTTTGTTCCAAATTTTTGGTGCACAGATGCTGAAATCTGCTTCTCCTCTCTTGGTTCTGGTTCTGCAGAGCAGACCAGAACCAGAAGACCTGAGAGGTCTGGGAGGTTGATACAACAACAGGTACCGCACATGTGACCTTTGACCTCTTTGATGGAAGTTTCCAATTGATGAGAAGTTTCCAATCGAAACAAAGAAATCTCTGTTCTTTATGTAACATTCAAACCAGTCGAGAATCTGAAACCGGAGAGTCCAACCCAACTCTCCAGTCGATTCAGTAATATGTCGTGGTCGACAGTGTCAAAAGCTGCACTGAGGTCCAATAGAACCAGCACCGCGGGTCTCCCACAGTCCGTATTTATATGGATGTCATTGAATACTTTTACGAGGGCAGTCTCCGTGCTGTGGTGAGCACAAGAACCAGATTGAAAAGAGTCAAAGCAGTCGGTCATCATGAGGAAACTATTTAATTGTTTACACACAGTTTTTTCAATAACTTTGCTGATGAATGGGAGATTTGAGATCGGCCTGTAATTCTGCAGTAGTGATTTGTCCAGATTGATCTTTTTTAGAAGTGGTTTGATGACTGCTGTTTTCAAAGCCTGGGGGAAAACGCCTGATGTGAGTGAGTTTACGATTTGGATCAGATCAGTAGCAATAACAGGCAGGACTTTCTGAAAGAAATGTGTGGGTAGGACATCCAGACAGCAGGAGCTTGAACTTAATTGACTTATAATTTCTTCTACGGTTTTATAATTAAGTAGTTGAAAATGGGTCATTTTCCCTGTATTTGTTTTGTTTGGGTACAGCAATGGTTCCGGCTTTAGAGTTGATGTGCAGATTCATCCTCTGATTTTTTTGAATTTTCTCTGAAAAGAAGCTGGAAAACTTGTTACAGGCAGCATTAGATTGGAATTCAGGTGTTAACTTCCTTCCTGTTGCTCAGGTGCAAGAGGAAGGAACTTTATTTTCACCTTTTACGAGATTGTGCCTTTTGTCTGTTCTCATTTGGCCTCCAAATCTCCTTTGTTTTTAGGAGATTTGGAGAAGTCTAGACATCTTTGGGAGGTTTGGGAGCAATTTCAACCTTTCGTCAGAACAAATAAATGATTATTTGTACCCTGTTGATGTGTAAATAACCAAGAACATGGCTTCTTTGCATCTATTTGAGCTGACTGCAGGTATGAGCCAGTTTGTCAAACGTTTATTACTGGGGAAAAAAAGAGGACACTCACTGTTTTATTTTGACTATTTTGCCAAATTCAAAATTTGTGGCAACCCTAATAAAGATTTTAGAGAGCCTTAAAAAATCTAAACTTCCAACCTCTGATATGTGAGTTACTCAAAAGAAAGATATAAGGCTTTAAAACATAAACTCTCAGTATAACAATTATTGATATTATTATAATCTGAGTTGGTCAGATAATCCAGAATCTCTGGAATCTGAAAGTTGTCAGGTTCCAGGGGGGGATGTCTGTGGAATCACTTTAAAATCTTCAAAAGATAGAATGTTTAATTATTTTTACTTTATAGGTAGTTGGAATTTTTTTTTTATTATTATCCTTAAAGGGATCCCTTCTTTTAGAGTCTTAGTCTCTTTCTACACTTTCAATTTAATGGTTGTTATAATATCGTCTATTATTCTGCAGCCATCAGTTATGAAATAAAAACTGCTCAAAAGGTATCCCTTATTTTTAGCACCGCACACCAAAGGAATCTGACCCCACGCAGGCATCCTTGAGATCTAAATGGTTGGCCTTTACAGTATGCTAGAGCAACTGTGTGGCGATCCAAATGTGTGCAATATTAATATTTAAGAAGAATTTTAAGGCATGCCAAAACCATTTGGATCCATGAACTTGACCCACTCTTAACTTTTCTGTTCGCTGCTGGAGAAGGGAGAGATAAATGGATACGCTTGAAACCTTTTCTATCGGCCCGAGTCCTCTGTAAGGCACATTAAATTATCTGGGGTTCATTTAGCGGGGCCGGCCTAATGTTCAAGTGTCTCTTTTTCCTGGTTGTGTAACTGAATTATGTCGGACGGTTCTGAATAAACATCAATCTCCGCGCCCGCTCCTCTTGATAAGATGATCGGCAGAGTCGTAAAGCGGAAGACGGCTGGTGGGGGTGGGGGGTGTGGGGCAGAGGGGGACGTCTGCCCGGGCCAGGGATGGACAGTCAGCGCGCTGTGATTTACACTGCGTCTGGCATTTTGGCCCACCGCTGGGGGAAGAGTATCAGTCAGATTTATTTGACTTTTCTTTCCGGTCTTCCTCCTCTCTTCAACTCTTTTCTCAGCTTTCTGACAGGCCCTCAAGTCATTCTGGTGTGTCTATACATGTAAAAGTCTCCTGTTTCTTCTACCTTCTTCCTTTTCATGCTTTTTGTCTTCTGTTGAGGCACAATTTACTGGTGGAAACAGGAGACGGGAAACAGCCAGTGTCAGGTACATTTTGCTTCTATACCTTATTAGCAGGTAAGTAAACTGCATCTAAAAAGCGTCTTTTACAGACAGAAACTCACAAACCACTGTTCAACATGAATCCTGTTCAGGCTATGCATATATTACTACTCTCAATCATGCATTCACCTGGCAAGCACCTCATGGCCCAGGTCCCATCATCCCTTACCACGCCAATTTGCGAATCTGCTTATGATAATGGCCCGATCATAACGGGGCAGGGCTCCGTCGAAATGAGATCGCTTGCGACAGTGCTGACCTTTCAGCAGAGGCAAGAGTGGTAAAGCTGCCGCACCATAACAAGGTCTGTTGAGTAAGCAACTTACAAGCCAAGGTTACAGTTCCTGGATTAGAAAAAAAATTGTGTTTGAGAAATGGGAGGAAGTGTGTGTGTGTGTGAGAGAGAGAGAGAGAGAGAGAGAGAGAGAGCAGGAGAGGGAGCGAAATAGAGACAATGTTCTGATTGTGATTTCTCAAGTCAATTAACTTTGTGTGTGCGCCCGCTGTGGACGTTTTGCTGATACGGACGGTTTTACTGTCGGAACGTGCAGGACACTGACGGGCGGGAGGAGGCACGGCTTGATGTAGACGATCTTTTCGCATGAGACGGAGAAGCATCAATCTTAGCCGTGTGACTCTGAGTCCTTCGACTGAAATCCACCCTTTTATCCATTCGAGTAGGACAGATGCAAAATTGTGTTTGTTCAGCACAAGATATGCTAATGTTTATATGAGTGGGGCAGAAATGAAATATTTCCACATCGGCCACCTTCTATAGTAATAGATAAATAAAAATAAAGCTTTTTTTTGTTTTTGTTTTAGCAAAGTGACTTCTTTGATGAAGTCCTGGACAGTGAATAAATCAATTTCAAGCAAAAGCAAGAAATTTTTGAAAAAGAAAAAATCCAACACAATTCACTAATAGAAAAGAAAAAAAAGTAAAGCATTCAATATTATTTTAAAGCTTATTTTAAAAATGTAAAGTAGACACAAACATCAAACATTTAAAAGCATTTTAATATTGAACCTGGTTTCATAAATCCAACTATAATTCTGCAAACACCTTTCAGATATTAGAAGACAAATTATAGGTGCACAACTTTTGCAGTAAGCAGTAACATAAGCATCTTTCCTCTGGCTTAAGGTGTCACATCCTGAAGATTTTCACATTTTATAATCCTGAGTCCGATTGTCCAACAGAGGAAATATTCTGCAAACATTTTTGTTTACTTTTCCTGAACTGCAAAAGAGATTTCTCTTTTGTTTTTTTTTTTGTTAAATCAGAAAACAAAACTTCTAAGTTAGCCTCAAAGGTTTTTTCTTTCTTTTTTTTTTTTTGCATCCAGCCAAGTATTATATAAAGTACAGATGCATTGCAATTTAATGCATGGCTGGAAAATTATTTTATCACAAAATGGGTAACAACAGCTGTTACTTGAGGGCCACAATACTGGCCTGAGGTCAGTTATTTCAATTTGCGCGCAAACTCCATAAGTGATTTTTTATTACAGTTTGTATTCCTAACCAGCAAGAGTGTGTGGTCATACACACTCTCACAAACCCCCAGATTTGTACACAAACACACACATTCATCGAAGTTTTTTTTCTTTTCTTTTTTCTTTTTATGCTTTGGCCCACTCCATAAATAATACAGCTTCCTTTGGCCTTGCTGACAGGATCTGTAATGGAGTTTGCATCACCAGTTCGAGTGACTGACCAGGTGACTACCCACTTGACTGACTGTTTTATCGAGCTGGTAGAGCATGAAGCAGCCAGATCACTTTTACCCTCGTGCCTGACAACAAGCAAGGGCAGCTGAGACTTGGCGTGCCAAGTTTGTGTATTTCTTCATATGTCACTGTCTCTCTGTTTGGCTGCATATGTGAACATGTGAGCTCGTCTCCCAGCCTAAGTGTGCGTCTGCCTGGGCAGTGACAAAAACAGAAGCGTGAGGCGAACACAATCAATCTTCATTTGGTAATTTATGAAGGAGTTCAGTTGTCAGGTATCCAGCGGTGTCTTGTACAACTCATTCTGCTGTGATGGGAGGCAAGGGGGGGTGCTGGGTGAAGGGACTGTGGGGAGGGGGGGCCACCCCAGGATATCAGCGCCTCCTGTCACCTCCCTTCCCTCCTCATCGGCCCCTCTCATACAGCCCCTGCTGCCGTCAGCAGCCCAGAGGCATAAGCGCAGAGAGAAAGGGAGACGAAGGACGAAGTGAGAGAGGGAAACCAGGCAGG